TATTATTTTTATTTTATGTGTATGAGTGTATTGCCTGCATGTATGTGAGTGCACCCGTGTCACACAATGACATGGAGGTCAAAAGAGGGCTTCAGATTCCCCTGGAACTGGAGTTAAGGGCGGTTTGTAGTTGCCATGTGGGTCCTGGGAATCAAATCCGGGTCCTCTGCAAGAGCAGTCAGTGCTCTTAACCGCTGAGCCATCTCTCCAGCCCGAGAATCTTTTTAAATGAAATTGTATGCATATGAGTATTTTGCTTGCATGTAAGTGCACCCATGTCCTGTTGTACCCAAAGAGGACAGAAGAGAGTGTTGAATCCCCTGGAACTAGTTATAGATCCCTGTTAGCTGCCATATGGGTGCTGGGATTTGAATCCGGGTCTTCTGCAAGAATAGCCAGTGGTCTTAACCGCTGAACCGTCTCTCCAACCCTGGGAGTCTTACCTCCACATTCCAGACGAAAGAACTGTGGAAGAGCTCTGACCACATCTTGTTAACTTTGTTGATGTCCTTGACATCCCAGATATAGATGCTGTGGTCCTTGTAAACACAGGACAACCTCTGGTGGATGGGGTCAAAAGTCAGCGCCACTGTATCTGGGTAGACTGCTTCTGCTTTTCTGTGGAAGAGGAAGCTAACAAAGCCATATGGGTCATCAGTACCCATCAATGCCACTGTGAGCCTCAGCCACCTCTGGTGACACAGGCTGTTCCCTGTGTGCCATTTCTCTTGCTCCAACTCCACTTCTGTCTTTTCATTTTTTTGCTTCTACTACAGTCTGTAAACTGAAAGTGTCTGAACTGGCCCAAGAACACACTCTTTTTCATGGTAATGACTACATTTGTTATCTTATTGCTACATTAGACACGAAAAGAGCCTGACTGGTTATAGGAAGCAATGGTGGCACCCACTGTAGGTTAACCTGACTCACCCTGTAGGCTGCACGAGGACCACACACCTGATGGTCATCAATGGTGAGATTATTAGCAGCATCTGCTATCTGGAATTTACACACCAATGGGAAGTTCAAACACAAATTTAAGGGAAAATTGGCCACCACTGGAGCCAGAAAGTAGCAGCCATCACTGGGTGCCAAGTCTCTATAGACACACAGGTTTACAAAATCAAGTATAAAACCAAGACTCTTCTGAAGGCATTTTGAGTTTGACTCTTACTAACATTTCTGTCCCCATTCCATTCAAAGCTCCTGTCCATATCTATCCAGAGGAAAAATGGGCATGTATCTCAGGCCTCCCCTCTTCTGTTCTGTCTCACTAACACCTGATCTAAACCGCCTTGACAAGGGGCTGAGGAGCTGTCGTGGGGTCTGGGGTGTCCCTATAAAGGCTACAGATCACTTAGTACTTGCTGTGAGCCACTGAATTCTCATAACCACCAGGAGAGGCGGGTATTGTTTTACAGATGAGGTTGGGTGAGGCACAGTGACCAGCCTGAGACCACATAGCACACAACAGTGGGTGGAGTAGCTGGGCAGCCTGGCTACTGCACCTGGCCATAGCCTACAGCTAGCTCAGCTGTCCTCTTTCCTTCAAGATCTCTGGTCACCCCTCGAGGGCTTTCTCTTGGAAAAGTTGCTCAGGAGCTAGTAATCTACAAAGCAGCAGCCCTAGGCAGTCAGCCACCCTAGTTATGTACCCACATCCACTCTCCATAAAAGAGACTCACAACAAAAAGGACAAGCCACAGCTTAGCGCTTCCCTCCACAAAGGATATGGCAGTCAAGCGATTCTGCATTCAAGGCCTTATCATGCAACCCCCAGTGTCTGCCCACCAACCTCAGAAGAGGCTCCTCCAACAGTCTCCATCAGCACTCTAGACGATGCCCCCGCCACGCTAGACTCCAGTCCCACAGTCATTTGCTATTCCTGTAACATGCCATACCCTGTGTAGTGTCCTTTTCAAGAATTTATACTTGCTGTTAACTCAGCTGCTTTTTACCAGCCACTCAATAGACACAGTCTGCCCAGCACTCTCCTGAGCCCTGCTTTCTTCACCACAGAGTTAGGCTGTCTGCCATTTCTTCTTTTTCTATTTTTCTTTTCTTGTTCTTTTTTGAGACAGGGTCTCCCTGTACCCCAGCTGGCCTGGAACTTGCTATGTAGACCAGGCTGGCTTTGAACTCATGGAGATCTGCCTGCCGCTGCCTCCCAAATGCTGGGATTAAGGGTGCACCACCACGCCTAGCTTGTCTGCCCTTTCTTTTGCCCACTTTTCAGCAAGCTTCTCACTGCATAGGAGAATTCTGGGCATAGAGATTCTGCTGCCTCCATTCCTGTTTCCAGCCTTGGGCTGGCACTCAGTGGATGCTTAGTAAATGCTAAACTATTGGGGTCCACACGCCCTTGTCACCATGGCTGCTCTGAACACTTCTTTTCAGCACTTCCTGCTGTTTAAAGTTACTGTTTACTCCTCTGACTTCTTCCCCACCTAGGAGGGAGCTCTCCAGCAGAGTGGGACTTTTATGCTCTGTTCACTGCAGTAATGCCCAGGGTTGAGAGCAATCAGTAGTATTTACAGGATGGACAATCAGGTGGATGGGTCTGGAAGCATGGACAGACCCTTGGTCCCCAGCCCCCCCGCCCCCCCCCCCGGGGGCAGCACAGTACCTGGGATCCAGACCCTGTGCTACATCTACTCCAAGGTAGTGCGGCTTGGGCAGGTTGGAGAGGTAGTGCAGGCTGTGGGCCTGGAAGATACGGACTATCCCATCTGTGCATCCGCAGAAGATCAGCTCCTCACTGACAGAGAGGCAGGAAGACAACGAGACCTGTGGGGACAGAGGGGACAGATTAGCTGGTCTTGGGGTTTCATGTGGCTTGGCCCAGAGGCAGGAGACTGACAGACTCAGAGTGTTGGGTCTAAGACACTTGTTTTTATATGCTCAGATTTTTGAAATCAGTATATAGCAATAGTCACCATGGAAGGAGACGGGCCATGAGCTGGGACAGAAATGCCATTACTGTTCACAGAGGAACTTCACCGTGTGTGGAAAATATCTGTTCAGCAGACTGCAACTTTGGGCAGGCCACTTGTAATTGGGCTAAAGTTTAGGCTTAAATTTTATTCCAGTTACTTAAAAACAATTTCATAAAGACTGACATGCCAAAGCAGACTAGAAAAAAAACTCACCATATAGAGGAAAGACTGCTTGTCCTACCAGGACACACAGACAAGGGGGGTCAGAAGAGCCAGATTCTACGCACAGATTAGAGGGATTCTCTAGAGGCCTTAACTTATGAGTCATTTGGTGCTCTGCCAAAAGCTTCCTTGTTTTCTTGTTTGTTTTTTTGAGGTAGGGTTTCATTATGAAGGCACAGCTATCCTAAAACTCACTATAGGTAAGGCTAGTCCTGAACTCACAGAGATCTGCCTGCCCCTATTTCCTGAGTGCTGAGATTAAAGGTATCCATCACCATGCCCAGCCTTGTTTGTGTGTTTTTTGAGACAGGGTTTCACTATGTGGTGCTGGCTGGACTGTAAGTAGTGGTAGTACACAACTGTAATCCCAGCACTAGGGAGACTGCATTCAGAGGATCACTAGTTTGAGGTCAGCCTGGGCTATATAGTGAGACCATGTCTGGAAAAAAAAAAAAAAAAGAGAAACACAGGCTAGGAAGATGGATCAGCAGTTAAGAGAACTTAACTACCCTTGCAGAAGACCCAGGTTTGATTCCCAGCACCCACATGGTAGCTAACAACTGTCCCTAACACCAATTTCAGGGGATCCAATTCCTTCTTCTGCTCTTCACAGGAAGTGCATGCATATGATGTACTTACACACATGCAGGTGAAGCTCTCATACACATAAAAATAAAAGTATTAGAATAGCCAGGCGTGGTGGCACATGCCTTTAATCCCAACACTCAGGAGGGAGAGGCAGGCAGATCTCTGTGAGTTCAAGGCCAGCCTGGTCTACATAGTGAGTTCCAGGACAGCTGGGGCTACAAGGAGACCCTGTCTCAAAAAGACAAAAAAAAAGTATTAAGGCCAGGTGTGGTGGTGCATGCCTTTAATCCTAGCACTTGGAAGGCAGAGGCAGATCTTTGTGAGTTCAAGGCCAGCCTGGTCTACATAGTGAGTTTCAGGACCACTGGGGCTACAGGGAGACCCTGTCTCAAAAAGCCAAAAAGAAAAAAAAAAAGTATTAAAAAAAAAATCAAGGATCTGGAGAGATGGCTCAGCAGTTAAGAACACTGACCACTCTTGAAGAGGACCTGAGTTTGGTTCCCAACACCCACATGGTAGCTAACAACCATCTGTACCTCCAGTTCCAGGGGATACAGTGCCCTCTTCCTGCCTCTGCAGGCACTGCATGACATAGGTACACCTACATACATAAACTTACATTCATACTTTCAGAGGACTTGAGTTCAGTTCCCAGCACTAATATTGGCGGCTCACAAGCATGGGTAATGTCGGCATCAGGGAATCCAGCACCCTCTGCAGGTCTCTGTGAGCACTGCACTCACATGCACAAGCACACACACACATATAAATAACTAATCTTTTTTTTTTTTTTTTTTTTGGTCTTTTTGAGACAGGGTCTCCCTGTAGCCCCAGCTGTCCTGGAACTCACTATGTAGACCAGGCTGGCCTTGAACTCACAGAGATTCGCCTGCCTCTGCCTCCTGAGTGCTGGGTCTGAAGGCGTGCACCACCACGCCCAGCCTAAAACTAATCTTTTTTAAAAATGATGTTTAACTACCTAGAAAACATAGATAAGACTTGGAATTCTTGCATATGTCCTAAACCTTGAAGGCGAGCTCCAGAGGCAGTGACAGAGGCCACTCAGGAAAAGAACAAAAAGCTTGCCTTTTGTCTACTACCAAAAGGCAACTGAGCTTGAGCAGGCTGACAACTTGGACTCAGACTTTCAGGTACTAAAAAAAATAAACCTCTGTAATGTATTGAAGCATTGACATTTAGTCTAAAATTTTACAAATTTGGGCTGAGAGATGGCTAAGCGGTTAAGAACACTGGCTGCTTGCAGAGGACCCAGGTTCAATTCCCAGCACCCACGTGGTAGCTAACAACCATCCATAACTCCAGTTCCAGGGGAATCTAACGTCCTCTTCTGACCTCTGTGGGCACTGCATGACACGGGTGCACTTACAGCATGTAGGCAATACACTTATACACGTAAAATAAAAATAGTATTAAAAATTTTTTTTTGTTGTCGGGTGTGGTGGTACATGCCTTTAATCCCAGCACTGGGGAGGCAGAGGCAGGCAGATCTCTGTGAGTTCGAGGCCAGCCTGGTCTACATAGTGAGTTCAGGTCAGCTGGGACTGCAGGGAGACCCTGACTCAGAAAGACAAAAAAAACAAAAAACAAAACCCAAAACACCTCAACCCCCTTCTCTGTACCACCCCCAAATCACCAGCAGGGGTGCAGCTGAACATCCCCGTCTACACCAGGGAAGAAGAGTTCTCCAAATGCCTGCTGGCAGAGAAGCAGGAGGGTACCTTCAGGTTGATCCACTTTTCCAGCATCCTCTTCTCGTTGAACTGGCAGAGGAGGCCCGAGTAGGACACACAGAAGGTATTGCCTGCCATCCGGCCCCGGCCGCAGGCCACACCACAGAAGATGTTGTTGTGCAGCTCACCCAGGATGCCTGAGCGCCCTACCAGGGGCACTGTGCCTGTCACCTGGAAGCACAGCAGGGCATGTTAGAGACTGTTCCCCACCTAGCGCCCTACAGGGCCACAATAGGCCCTTCATAAATAGCTGAACAGGAGAACTTCTAAAAAAGGAGGAGGGCTGGGGCTGGAGAGATGGCTCAGCAGTTAAGAGCACTGACTGCTCTTGCAGAGGACCCGGGTTCAATTCCCAGGACCCATATGGCGGCTATGAACTGTCCTTAATTCCAGTTCCAGGGGAATCCGAAGCCCTCTTCTGACCTCCGCAGCATTGCACGACACGGGTGTACTCACATACATGCAGGCAATACACTCATACACATAAAATAAAAATAATAAATATTTAAAAAAAAAAAAAGGAGGGCTGAAGAAATGGCTCAGTGGTTCAGAGAACCGGCTGTTCTTGCAGAGGACTCAGGTTCAGTTCCCAGCACCCACATGGTAGCTAACCACCATCTGTAATTTCAGTTCCAGGGGATCCAATGCCCTCTTCTGATCTTCGATGACACTGCATGCATATGGTATACTTAAAATATAGGCAGGAGGCCGGGCGTGGTGGTGCACGCCTTTAATCCCAGCACTTGGGGGGCAAAGGCAGGAGGATCTCTGTGAGTTCCAGGCCAGCCTGGTCTACATAGTGAGTTCCAGAACAGCTGGGGCTACAGGGAGACCCTGTCTCAAAAAGACCAAAAAAAAAAAAAAAGGAGAAGGAAGAACAGAAGCCATGCTTCTGGGCAGAAGGGCTGGGAGGCAGCGGTCTAGTAGTGAGCTCTGGCCTAGGAGCAGCGTTCAGCTTATCTGTTAGCACCTGGACACCTGAGAAGCTGGAGGAGCTCTGAGACCTCTGCCTCCAAGTCCAAGGTAGACATGGAACCCATGGTACTGTTGACAGTGACTCTCCAGGCCTGGATGGAACAGGGATAGAAACTCACCTTTGCTTCTGTGGAGACTTCCAAGAACCAAAACCTCACATGCCGATTCCCAACGGTGACAAAATACCTGCTGTCTTCAGAGAAGGCGAGGGCAATGACTCTGCACGACACCTTGTTGGAGGCCACCACGATGTCTTTCTGTAAGAATCAATGCAGAGCAGATTGCAGCAGTGCCCACCCCATCACTGTACCTTGGTCTCCCTGCTCTGCCATTTTTCTGGGACCCTGTAGTGGATGAATCTCTGAGGAAACCTGTGTGTGACTCTGGTCATTCCTAATCACCAGAAGAGCTTCCCAGATGGCAGTAAATTTCAGAGCTCTCAAGGGTCCAAGCACTGCAGCCACACACAGTGTTGGGGACAGTCACAGCTGGTAAGGACAACATAATCTGTGGCTACCATACATAGGGCTCTTCTCTGCTGGGCACTGCTCCTCGCCCCTCTCAGGAGGGAGGTCTCCTCCACCCCGCCAGACTGTGCTCAAGGTCACATTGTAGGTTAGGGGCAGAACCAGAACGTCAATCCCTTCCCCAGCTGTGCTGAAGCCCAGCCTTCCAGTGTACATCAACTTGCTGAAGTTCACAACTCAATGAGGTATACTATCATAGCCACTTTAGAGTTGAAACAGGGGAAGGCATTTGTCCAAGGTCACAGCTGGTCAACATAAGCATTAATACTTCTGCCATAGACCCTAAAACAATGTGCTTTGCTTCCCATCCCTTCCCCTCCTGAAACAAAGACATGATGGCCAGAACCCCACCTTGCTAAGAGGTGACCTCAGGAAGATAAGTCTTACAGCAAGTGTGGTACAACAGAAGGCAGGAAGGTGCTTAATAACCATCTGCACTCAATAAGCACTTTACTGAGCTATCTTTGTAGCTCTGCCAGTACCTGAGACTCAGGATGCCTGGCAACTAGCTGCCTGCCCATATACCCACTCGGCTCTCACCTTCCAGTCCCAGACATTGAGGACCATGTCGTGTTGGTAGCCCATGGACACGATGTGCTTCATGTTGGGTGAGAAGGCCACACAGGCCACGCCATATTTGTGGCCCAGCATCTCTGCCATCTGAGTTTTCTCCTCCACGTCCCAGATGCGCACGGCTGGCCTGTGCCCATTCTGGGGAGAGTGAGGCCATTACTGCAGATGAGCTCTGTACGAGGCATGGCTAGAGGGGCCGTTTAAGCTGAAGTTGACATTGCTACAACTTGTTCCCAAAAGCCACCTCCCCGATTTGCCACAAGCAATTTAGGGATTCTCCAGTCTGCTGGCAGCAGAGGGAATGGCTCCAAACCCCTCCCCATCTGCTCAGTCCAAGACTTACCTCCCCTGTTACTATGTACTTCCCATCTGGGGAGAAGGCTAGCGCACTCAGAGACTTCCTGGCGACAAGAGAGGGAGTCAGTCACTGGTCGCACTGAGGGTGACTATGCTCCCAGCATTCTGGACACTCGTAGTTCCCAAAGCTGGGGAGAGGCCAGGAGAAACGAGTGCCAGCAGCTCCCCTACCCAGTGTAGCCTGTGTGCTTAGCACTGCACTCAGGGAGACGGAGAGAAAACAGAGGCTTCTTCTTCCCTAAGCACCAAAGCTAAATACTATAGACCCAATATGGGGACACTGCTTTCTTCCTCCAGTGCAGGGTGGGCTCCCAAAGATCCCACCTACCTGTAATGCAAACCTGAAACAGATAAAACTCATAAAGAAACTCATAAAGACCTGGCCTAACTAAAGTGGTGCTGATGGGAGGACCCTACAGGCATGGCACAGAGATGACCTATAGTGAGTGAACCACGGCTGAGCCCTCAAGCTGTTCTAGAAATCCTAACCACTGGAATGCTTCTGAGAGAGAGAGAGAGAGAGAGAGAGAGAGAGAGAGAGAGAGAGAGAGAGAGAGAGAGAGAACACACATGCATGTGGAGGTCAGAGGTCAATCTTGAGTGTCATTCCTCAGGAGCTGTCTACATTGTTTTCTTATTTTTCCAAATATCTATTTGTATGAGTGCTTTGCTTGTGTATATGTAAGTGCGCCTGAATCATGCAACGCCTGAGGAGACCAGAAGAGGGTATCAGATCCTCTGGAACTGGAGTTATGGATGGTTGTTAGCTGCCATGTGGGTGCTGGGTACTGAACCTGGTCCTCTGCAAGAGCAGTTAGTACTTCACTTTGTTTTTGAGACAAGGTGTCTCACTGGGACCAGGGGCTCATCAATTGGACTGAGCTGGCTGGTCAGTGAGCCCCAGGAATCTGCCTATCTCTGCCTTCCTAACGCTGGGATTATGAGCACGTTACTACACATGGCTTCTGACATGGGTTTGGGGATTGAAGTCAGGTCCTCATGCTTGTCCAGCAAGCACTCTGCAGACTGAGCTGTCTTCCCATCTTCCCAGCCTTCCTCTCTGATCTTTTTTTTTTTTAAGAGACAGGGTCTTACTATGTAGCTATGGTGGCTGGCCTGGAACTTTCTATATAGACCAGGCTACCTTTGAGCTTTGAGTTCATAGAGATCTACCTATCTATAACTCCAGAGTTCTGGGATTAAAGGCATGCACCACCATGCCTAGTCTGTCCCTCTGATACTCTTAACTAGCCTGAACAAGGACTGAATGACCAGGCTAGTTGGCTTCTCTTTTGGAAGCAAGATTCACCATACCTAGATTGTATAACTTTTTCTCTCCTCCCTCTTCCCCGTTTCAATCCATTTTTACGGGGGTTTGTCTTATTTTGGTTTTAGTATTATTTCTTAGACAATGTCTCTGTTATGTAGCCTAGGCTAGCCTTACCTCACAATCTTCCTGTTTCAGCACCCCAAAATTCTGGGATTACAGGCTTATGTGCCACCCACCTGGCACCTAAGTGAGTCTGACAACCTCACAGATGACTTACCATCACCACTAGCCTGTGAATGCCCTCCAGTGGCTTCTCTGTGCACTCAGTATGACAGCCAACTCCCCCCGCCCCGCCCCCCGCAGCTCTTAAGAAGCCCAGGTGAATTGGCTTCTTCCTGTTTCAGATCCCTATTTCCTGCCTGCTCTTCTATAGCCAGCACTTGGGCCCACCACTGCTCTACAGGCTCCCGGCTTCTTCATCTTAGCTCTTGCCAGTGTTCCCTCACACAGGTACCTGCCACTTCCTTTAGGTCTCAAATTCAATCGGGAGGGCCATCCTTGAGTCTTCAGATATGGCTTTCTTCATTCTCTGCCCTAAACCTCCCACCCTCGGCAATCATTTCCTCCATGACATGGATCATAAGCAGCAAGTAATATGTTGATGGGTTTACACTCTGTCTCCCACACTGGGCTACTGGCTGGACAGAGTAGATTCTTGTTTTCTTTCTGCTTGTGCTGTCAGTGCCTAGAAACAGTGCCTAGCACCAGTACCCAGTACCTGGTGAATGTGGCTAACTGAGTAAGTTACATGCTCATGACTACCTCCAGGCTCTGTGGGAGAGGTGGTTTATCCCAACACCCTGGTCCTCCAGTTCCACCCATGCCCAGGCCCAGCCTACCTGGCAGTATTAAAGATATGCTGCTGCTTGTTCTCCTTGGGGTTCAAAATCACCACCACACAGCTGGGAAGAAAGAGGAAAAATGTGTCTAAATTGGAGGGATTGGGGGAGCACTGGCTCTAAGGATTCTCTCACAAAAGAAAAACCTACATGTCAATAAGGCTCTCTCTCTAGATTTGTTTCTGTTTTTTTGAGTTGAGACAAAGTCTCACTACATGGCCTAGGCTGGCCTTAAACCAAGTTCCTGCCTCAGGCTCCGGAGCATTAGGATGACTGGCTGGGGATAGAACCTAGGACCTTGAACATGCTAGGAAAACACTCTACCACTGAGCTACACGCCCAGTCCTTTCTGGTCTCCTCTTACTCCAGATATTCATACTAAGAATTCTTGAGCACTAGACATTATTAGTATATTCTTTTTTAAAAAAATATTTTATTATTATTATTAATTTTTTTTTGGTCTTTTTGAGACAGGGTCTCCCTGTAGCCCCAGCTGTCCTGGAACTCACTATGTAGACCAGGCTGGCCTTGAACTCACAGAGATCCACCTGCCTCTGCCTCCCGAGTGCTGGGACTAAAGGCGTGCGCCACCACACCCCGCTATTTTATTATTTATATTTTATGTGTATGTGTGTATTGCCTGCATGTAGGTAAGTACACCCATGTTGTACGATGCCCGGACAGAAGAGGCTGTTGGATCCCCTGGAACTGGAGTTATGGACAGTTGTTAACTGCCATGTGGGTGCTGGGATTCGAACCTGGGTCTTCTGTAAGAACAGCCAGTGTTCTTAACCGCTGAGCCATCTCTCTAGCCCCCAGTATATTCTTAAATAGAAACCTTCCTTCATGGGAACTAGTCTGTCAGGCCCTAGGCTAATAAAGACTTTATAGCCATAATCTCCTTATATCCTCCCAACTGCCAATTAAGGTCTAGACTCTTTGGGTCTGTTATAGAGGACTGAAGCCCAGAGAAGGGAAGTCTTCTGCACAGGGGACCCAGCAGGTCAGTAAGGTTGTGGGGATATGAATCCATTCCTGTTGGATTTAAGAACCCCGGACTGTTTTCCAATTTGCTCCTGTGGGTCTACCCTGCCCTATCTAGCTGGGGTGGCTCCTTTCACTGTCTAAACAATGCCAGGCTTGAACAGTATTTCTGGACTAAACTGGATCTCCCTCAGTCAGTCTTCTTAACTATCCAAAGGGAGTTTATTACTCGATAGAAGCAGAGGCTTTGAGAAGGGCATATGTATTGGAGCTGGACATGAGTCCAGATTGCCTGACCAGTGTGGGTTTCAACATGTTTCTTATAATTACTGCCACCTTACATCTGCAGTCATGATAAAAGGTTCAAAGCACCCACTTCTTGCTAGGTACTGTTCTAGACATCAATGGGCCTGTGGAGTCCTGTCCATAGCCCTCAACGGCAGCAGCATCACCTACATTCTAGAAACTGGAAAGTCAAGGCCCGGCAAGCTGCATCCACGACTTCAGCTCCAAATTCCTAAGCAGTGATCACATGCCCAGGCCTACCCATGTGCTTACCCTGCTAGATAGGCCACGTGGCCTGTACCAGGGTCACAGGTTAGCCCACTACTGTTCTGAGATGTGATGCCAAGTACCTTCTCAAGGGTCACCTGCAAAGAAAAGGCCTGTCAGATGCACAGGGCACAGCTACTTCAGCCACAGGGGCAATTCCTGCAGCATTCCACACACACATCTGAGCTCTGTGGTCACCCTGTCCACAGCAGCTAGCACATGTCTTTTGCAGCATTCCGTTGACAAACACGCTTAAATAAGTTGGTAAAGGAATGTGAAAGGAACACGTGGCAGCAGGGAGAAGGCCTTTGAGTGAGTGTCTAAGTACCTGCCAGGATGAAAGATTTAAGTCCTTATGATCCTCTAGGTGCTACAATTGCCTTCATTTACAGATAAGACACAAGATCCTGATGCGGGGAATGGCAAGGCTGGAATGCAAACCGAGGCACTGGTTTGTGCCAGCACTTCAGGCCACATAAGGTAGATACAGCAATAAGCAAAACAGACACTATTCCCTCATCAAAGTCAGGAGTAAAGAAACAAGACAACAGTCACATTTCAAAGTTCTAACAGGTTAGATATACAGCTCAATGGTAGAGAACTTGCTAAGCATTCATAAGGTCTTGGGTTTGAGCCTCAGTGCTGCCAAAAGATTTATTTATTTAATAGGGTCTCCCTAGGTAGCCCTGGCTGGCCTGGTTCTCTCTAAGTAGACCATACTGGCCTTGAACTCATAGAGATCCACCTGCCTCTGCCTCACAAGTGCTGGGATTAAAGGTATGTGCCACCGTACTAGTTGCTTAAATAAATAAAAAGTGCAGATGAGCAGAACTGGGGTATTCACATTTTAAATATACTAGTTTTCTAATTACTACAGCATTAAGCCATCCTCAAGCCAAGTCACTGACCTCAGACTTGAAAAGCACACATAGGACTATAATAGCAGTCACTACCATCATCATCCTCAGCATCCTCATCCTCTATCTGGAAGAGCCCAGGAGGGTTACCCATCCAGGACACAGTGATGCTAGGATTCTGGCAGGGACAACCAAGCAATGGCACTCATGTTGTTTTAGATATTCAATTTTTTCAGTGTGATTTACAGCAGAACTGGTCATCTTTTAGATTAGGTCTTTGCACATGCCAGACAGTCTCTGCGATGCACTGCCAAATGACAAAAAACAAAACAAAACAAAACCCACGTTACTCCAATTATTACTCCAATAACAGTTCTCAACTAACGCTGAGTACCTACGGTATTCTAGGTATTGTTCTGAAGGCTTAAGCTATGTGAACTCAGAATCCTCATAAATACCCTATGAGGAGGCTGGTAAGGCAGCACATACCTGTAATTCCAGCACTTAGGAAGCAGGAGGATTCCAAGTTTGAGGCCAGCCTGGGCTACATAAGACCTTGTCTCAAAAAGCAAATCAAGAGGGTTGGAGAAATGGCACGGCAGTTAAAAGCACTGGCTGCTCTTGTAGAGGACCCAAGTTTAGTTCCTAGCACCAACATGATGGTTAACAACTGTCTATAACTCCAGTTCCAAGGGATCTGACCTCCTCTTCTGACCTCCAAGGTCACTGCACAACACAGGTGCACTTACACACATGCAGGCAATACACTCATACACATAAAATGATAAAGTAAGCCAGGTGTGACACATACAATAATAAAGTCAGACATGGTGGCACATGCCTCTGATCCCAGCACTTGGGAGGCAGAGGCAGGCAGATCTCTGTGAGTTCCAGGTCAGCTGGGGCTACAGAGAGAACCTATCTCAAAAAGACAAGACAAAAACAAAAACAGAAACACAGAGGCAGGCGGATCTCTGTGAGTTCAAGGCCAGTCTGGTCTACATAGTGCGTTTCAGGACAGCTGGGGCTACAGGGAGACCCGTCTCAAAAAGACCAAAAAAAAAAAAAAAATCAAATCAAAATATAAAACTCAATATGCTACAAGAGATCCTACCATCACTATTTTTTTTTAACAGATAGAGAAACTAAGGCACAGGAAAGGCCTAACTTGCTACAAAAAATAGAATTCATATTTAAGCTCAGATAGTCTGAGTCCAAGGGTGTGTTTTGCACCACCATGCTATACTGCCTCTCTGAATCTGCTACTGCTATTCTCTTCTACACACAGTTTAAGAACTCACAAGGCACTTTCAGGAACATACAAGGACTGTGGGAGAGAGTTAAAGTGGGTCTTTTAGCCTGGGATTCAAGAATACCTTTCTGGGCAGGAATAGTCAAGCTGAGACTTGAAAGATGGGGAGCCAGCCAGGAAAAATACAGGAAACCACCTTGGCAGAAGACTCATCAAACACAGAGCCCAGAGGCAGAAAAAGAAGTTGGAACTTGAGGAAAACAGACAGCAGAACAGTATGACTGAACCTTGGTGAGAGGCAGGACATGAAAGGTCACTTGCCTAGAACTCAGCTGTGTGTGTGTGGCAGGGGGAATATAATCTGAGACATCAAAAGCCTACCATGGATGAAAAAGATCCACCAACAGCTGCCACGAACCCATCCCCTTTATCAAGACTCTGTGCTAAGAAGAGTCTGTGCTAAGAAGAGTCCAGTCACAATTTTGTCTCCCTTTAACCCCATGGTAGGGTTGTCATCTCCATTTTATAATGATTTTTGTGGGGGGCTGGAGAGATGGCTCAGTGGTTAAGAGCACTGACTGCAGTGGACCTGGGTTCAGCTCCCAGCACACATATGGCAGCTAATGACCGTCCTAACTCCAGTTCCAGGGGATGTGACACCCTCTTCTGACCTCCTCAGGCACTGCATGATACAGGTCCAATTACATACATGCAGGCAATATACATAAAATAAAAAACAGTAGGTAAAATTTTTTGGTGGGGTCTTTTTGAGACAGGGTCTCCCTGTAGTCCCAACTGGCCTGGAACTCACTATGTAGACGGGCGGGCCCTCGACCCCACAGAGACCCCCCTGCCTCTGCCTCCCAAGTGCTGGGATTAAAGGTGTGTGCCCGGCCAAATCTTTAATTTTAAAAAATATTTTACTGGCCAGGCGTGGTGGCACATGCCTTTAATCCCAGCACTCGGGAGGCAGAGGCAGGTGGATCTCTGTGAGTTCAAGGCCAGCCTGGTCTACATAGTGAGTTCCAGGACAGCTGGGGCTACAGGGAGACCCTGTCTCAAAAAGACAAATAAATAAATAAATAAGATTTTTGTGTTTAGGCAATGAGAAAACAATTTTTCGAACTGTTACTTTGGAGCCAGGGAGATGGCTCAGTGGGTTGCACTTGCAACCAAAGTTGACAGTTGAGTCCTGAAACCTACACATTGGAAGGAGGAAGCATCTGACTCTGACAAGTTGTCTTCTTACATCTACACACGCATCGAAGTATCTGCCCCCAATAAACAAATTAATGTAATATAAAAATTGTTCTGCCAATGACATTCCTTCTAAAGCAACTTCCGTGTCTCAGAATTTATGGAGCTATTCTGTATGCCCTCCTTCCCAGGGAGTGCTGCTGAGATTTTACAAATAATTACTCTCAGTCTCCAAAGTTTTGATCAGTTTAACTATAAGAGTAAAAATCCCCTCTAGTGAAGGAAAAGGAAAGAGAAAGCAGGCTAAGGAGAGTAAAGTGAATGCGGTGCAGCAAGTAAGAAGGACCCAATGCGGGTGGAGCCAACAGAATTGGGGCCCTAGAATACCGGGGTGGGGGGTGGTGGGGTGGTGAGGGGTGGCAAGCGCCAACACACCATCCCTCTGCCTACAGGGTATGGTCCCCAACCCTATTAATAAAAAAATAACAAAAGCTAGGCGTGGTGGCGCAAGCCTTTAGTCCCAGCACTAGGGAGGCGGGGGCAGAGGCAGACGAATCTCTACGACATCAAGGCCAGTGTGGTCTACATAGCAAGTTCCAGGCCGGCTGGGACTATAGGGAGACCCTGTGTCAAAAACAACACCCAACACACAAAAACCAACAAGACTGGAACGAAGTGGAGCAACATCTGAAAGTTACTGAATGGTTCTGAAAGTGAGACTAAACCAAGATGTTTTCAGCATCCAACAGAGAAACCGGCAGGGGGAACAGAGTAAAGGGAGATGGGCGTGACGAAGAACCTGGGCGTGGCCAAGATCGCGGGGCGGGGGCAAGGATGCGGGGCGGGGCGGGGCTGGCCCGAGCAGCCCGGGGGTGGGTAAACAGGGCCAGCCACCTCTCACCCGGTTCTGCACCGTGTCCTCGGGCGCCGCGGCGAGTCGCGTCCGCCGCCGGAGGCAGACCGGTGGGGCAGGAGGCGGCGAGGACTGGTTTCTCCGCGCCGGAACTCCCGCCATGACAGAAAACAGCTTCTCGGCCGTATCATTCCGCGCGTAGCCTCCGGCCGCTAAGGCCGCCATCATACTGTCAAGGACCCGCGACCGTTACGCTTCTCAACAGTAGCTACCGGAGACCTACTCGAACAGCGAATGGCCGCGGGAAAGCCGGCGCCACAGCCCATTGGACGCGGCCAGCCGCCCGTCTGGCCAATCTCTGGGCTGCCGGGCGGGCGCACTGGCCAATGGGAGCGAGGAGGCGGGGCGAGGGTGGGTGGAGCCACAGAGGGCCAACTAGATGCTCGCAAAGCTTTGCAGACCGACTTCAGCTGACAGACCGGTTCTAACTGGTATGAGCCTAAGGCCTGAGCTTTCTGCTGCCTCCCGGGACAACTCTTCAGTCCCTGGTAGTGTCCCGGATGTAGGCGTAGGGCGGAAGAGTGGACTCTGCGCAGGCTCAGAAACGCCAGGACCCACAGTCCCCCCCTCTCTAACGTGGAGAGGGTTATGAGGGTGGGCACAGTTGTAGGCCCTCCTCGGTCACGTGGCAAGGGCGGGGGTGTAAGCAGGGGGGGTCCTAGGCGTTCCCTGTCATGTGATGAGAGCCCGTTTCCCCCCACCCCCGCCCCTCAGGGATCATGTGATCAAAACCCCTCTGGGCGGGTTTTGGCTGTGCCTGGCAAGGGCTAAGCTGACTTGGCAGTACTCAGCGGGGGCTGGACAACCATTCCCAAGTACTGCAAGGCTCCGAACTGCTCCAGCACTGCCGGCAGACTGGGCTCTGACAACCGTCCAGTGAGCTTCTACAAGTGAGCGCACGTGCAGGGCGGGGCTTGAAGGCGGGTCTCAGGGAAGGGCGGGGTCAAAGGATGAAGTATGCTTAGTGGGCTGGGAGTTTTGGTCCAGCTGGAAAGTCCTAGGAAGTAGGCCTGGGAAGGTGCCGGTGTAGATGATGTAGTTCACTGTTACAGTAGGAGCGGAAGGGGGAGGATGTGTAGACACGTAATTCTCCCTCTGTCGCCTGTTCTGTTTTTCCCTTTAGCATTATCAGATGTTTGAGGTGTTGTCTCCACACTAGAATGCCTGTCAACCCTGAAGACAACCAACTTTGTCTCTTGGTTTCTATTAGTCCTCCGTCTCTAGAACAGTGCCTAGCTCATAGTGGGTGTCCAGTAAATATAAGTGGGAAGAATTTGATTCTAGATAGTTGAGTAGTCCATGCCTCAACTCTCCTTTGAGGGACCCTTGTGCAGAGTAGAGGTGAGCATGGGAGTCCTTACACCAAAATCAGTGTGTGGTTTTTTTTGTTTTTTTTTTTTGTCTTTTTGAGACAGGGTCTCCCTGTAGGTCCAGCTGGCCTGGACTCTCTATGTAGACCAGGTTGGCTTTGAACTAACAGAGATCCGCTTGCCTCTGCCTCCTGAGTGCTGGGATTAAAGGCGTGTGCCACCAGGCCCTGGCTTCAGGGTGTGGACTTTGACACATCACTGTGGTGGGGCACACATCTGTTGGCACGTATTTGTAATCCCAAGCACTTGGAGGCAGGAGTTCAGGGTTATCCTTTGTTACATAGTGAATTCAAAGCCAGTTTGGGCTACAGGACATCCTATCCCAAAAAGCCAAAATGAAGGCTGGGTTCAAGGCTAGTCTGTCTACAAAGCAAATTCCAAGCCAGCTGGTGCTACAAGAAGAATCTGTCTCAAAAAGACTGGGAAAAAAAAAACAACACCCTAAAGAAATATCATTTTGTCACACAAAAGCCCTGACAGATCTTATCATGTTGGTGGGCATGGTGCTGCATGCCTGTGATTCTAATTGAGCAGGAGAATCAGGAACTCAAGCCATCCTTGGCTGTGTAGCAAGTTCTAGATCAGCCTTGGCTATATGAGACAGTGTCTCAAAAAAAAAGGGGAGGGGACTCCTTAAAGGGTCAAACATTGAAGAACTTAATACACAGCAATCCTTTCTTTTTGTCAGCACCACTGCCCCCAAATGTGGGCCATTAACCCATGCTTTAGCTTGTCCTTCAAAACACACCATCCTGCAACATCCACAGCAAAGTTTCTAACACTTTGCCAGCACAATTACAGCTCCATATGGAAAAATCCTGACTAAAGGATTAGGAAACGGGAGAAAGCACATTTCCAGCTACTCACATCATCTTTTCACCATCATCTCATCACCGCTTAACCAGACACTATAGTAGCCGATCTTTCCACTCTGACCTCCCTTACAACAATAATATACATGAAGAGCATTTATGTGCTGGGTGCTATTTTAAGTGCTTGACATTTAATGAGAACAGCTGTACACAGCGGCCTGATGACTTCGTAAAAGTCAGAGGTTTGGGTTTTTTGTTTGTTGTCATTTGGTTTTGGTTTTGGTGTTTTTGAGACAAGGTCTCTCTGTAACCCTGGTAGGCCTGGAACTTGCTATGTAGAACAGGCTGGCTTAAGTCTCACAGAAATGCTCTTGCCTTTGCCTCCCAAGTGCTAGGATTAAAGGCCTGGGCCTCCATGTCCAGCCTTGGTTTTTCTTTTTTTTAAGATGTGTTTTTATTTTATGTATGCTTTGCCTACACATATGTATGTGAACCACATACATACAGTGCCCCTAAAGGCCAGAAGAGAACTTGTCAGATCCCTTGGAACTGGAGTTATAGAGGGTTCTGAGATACCCCGTGCTGGGAACTGAAACCAGGTCCTCTGCAAGAGCAGCCAGTACTCTTAACCTCTCCAGCCCCTTGGTTTTTGTTTTGTTTTGTATTTTGAGACAGGATCTCACCAATGTAGGTCCTGACTGGCCTCAGACTCACAGAGAGATCCACCTGCCTCTGCCTCCCAAGTGCTGGGATTGAAGGCATGTGCCACCACGCCTGGCTACATTTAACAATTTTAACAAATGAGAGGAGGTCCATTTCCCAAAGACTCCGGAGCAGACCTGGGTTCCAGGAAAGAGAAGAGCCTACCTGGCCACCAGAGAGAACATTCATTAGGCCTTTTGAGGCCCTTTTGGGCTCTCTTCTAGGGCCTATCAGTAAGGAATTGCATTCACTGGCATTCTCAAAGTCCTAAATTGATAGTGGCTTAAGCAGGTTATGAAGTCTGTAGAATCAACATGGTTAAGTTCTGCTGTAGTGACAAACTCCCCAGTGTCAGTGGCTTGCTACCACACAGATACAGTCCTTGTTCACACTGTGTCCTTGCAAGTCTTTGTTGTTCCCACTGTATGGTATTTTATTTGAGGACTCAGGCTCAAAAAGCCATCCCTATTTGGAATATTGAGTCTTCCGGGAAGACTAAAAAAGAAAGTACAGAACTGCCCAGTGGCTCCTGGGAAACTCTATATTTAGTGGCCCACTATTTTCACTCATATTCTTCAGCTAAAGAAAGAACTTAGCAAGCATTTTGTCTGTGGAGTAAACATGAGTTTTTGTTGAAGATTTATTTATTTATTTATTTATTTTATGGGAATGTTTTTACCTGCATGAATGTAAGTGCACTATATGCATGTAATGCCTACAAACACCAGAAGAGGGTGTTGGATCCCCTGGAACTAGAGTTACAGATGCTTGTTAGCTGCTGTTTGGGTGCTGGGAACTGAGCCTGTGGCCTCTGCAAAAGCAGCCAGTGCTCTTAACCACTGAGCCATGTCTCCAGCCCAGATTTATTTAATACTATATGCATGTATGTGGGTATATGCATATGAGTGCAAATGCCCTCAGAGGCCAGAGACATTGGATCTCCCTGGAGCTGAAGTTACAGGTGCTTGTGAGCTGCCTCATGTGGGTGCTGGGAAACAATCTGGAACTCTGATCTTCTGTAAGAACAGTATACACTTGTGTGGGGTTTTTTTTTTTTTTTTTTTTTTGGACACAGGGTCTCCCTGTAGCCCTAGCTGGCCTAGAACTTGCTATGTAGACTAGGCTGAGCTTGATCTCTACCTGCCTCTGCCTCCAGAATCCTGCCACCATACCCATTGAGAACAGTAATGCACTTGTAACCACTAGGCCATCTCTCTAGCTTTTTGTCCTTAGCTTTCTCTTACAAAGTTGGCATACCAACACTGGTGTGGTAGCTCCACGTCATCCAAGGTGAGCATCTTCTGTGCCATCATCCTTAGCTTGTGACTCCTATCCAAGATGGCTGCTAGTGCTTTGGCCACACTGCCCTACCATTCATGAAAGGGAGGAAGAGCAAAAAGTTCTCAACTGTAAAGTGAGCCTTCTCCCTTCACAAGGCATTTGTAGGAATCCTATTCAGTAGTAACTTTGTCATTATTTGGTTCCCCACAACTGCAGAAGAGGCTAGGAAACATATTCAATCTGAGCACTTAGCCATCCTGAAGAATCTCAAGTTATATTAATAAAGAAGGAAAGGCTTTTGATTTTTTAAATTTATTTTTATTTTATGTGTTTGAGTATATTGCCTGAATATATGTAAATACATTCATGTTATTCGAAGCCCACGGAGACCAGAAGAAGGCGTTGGATCCCCTGGAAGTGGAGCTATGGGTGGTGGTTAGCCACCACGTGGTTGCTAGGAATCAAACCTGGATCCTCTTCAAGAGCAGCCAGTGGTCTTAACCGCTGAGCCATCTTTCCACCACCTAAAAGTCCTTTAGAATATACTGTTCCATCCTCTAAATGTGACCAGCAAGGCTGAAATAATCAATTTAAAAGGTGAACACTTGCTGTCCACTTAAGGTAGGTATTTAGAGACAGTGTCCATTGTAAATGTTGCTATGCAGAGGATTAAAAGAGGATAAGACAAGACCAAGTTGTGGAGAGGTTTCTTTATGATACTCTCCTTTAACAAAATGTTTAGGGGATGCAGAGCTGACTCAGTAGTTAAGAGCACTGGCTGTTCCTCTAGAGGGTCTGGGTTTGTGTTCCAGCACCCACCTGGTGGCTAACAACCATCCATAACTCCAGTTCCAGAGAATATGATGGCTCTCTGGGCATCACGTGCACAGATGCACATACATGTAGGCTAAACACTCATACACATAAAATATAAATAAATAAAAAATTTATATTTAATCATGTGTATGTGAGGAGGTATGCATGTGAGTGCAGGTTCCCTGCA